GTACTCTCAGGTATGAAAGATACAGATGCTGTGAGATGCTATCATCCATTTTGAGCCTATCTGAGGAAAATGTCACAGCACCACATTCTCAGATTATCGAGATAGTGTGAAGCAGTGTATGAAAAATTATCGATGGCGGCATCTATTATAACTGAAGAATATTATTCGTAAAACTAATTCTGGTTGCTGAACATCCAAATTATATCCCAACCGGAAGCGAGAGCTCTCCATTGATGAGCAAAAATTGCAAAAAATGGAAAAAATCTATATTCAAAGGTTCACATCTCGAAAACAGTACAATTCTGAGCTTTGGCTGTGGACACTTTCAATCAGCACATCAAGAACTACAGCATATCAAAATTTCGGCAAAATTCAAGGCAAGCCATTTCTCATAAGAAATGTGCGGGGTTCTTCATCAAAATATTGAAAAAACATTTTACCATCCGAAACAAAATTAATCTTCATACTCATTGCAACACCGAAACAACTGTTAATTTTTAAAGAAAAAATCGCACTCGGTGAACAGGTAGAATTTAGATTATTTTACCTACTTGCTGAATTGTTGTCTGAAATCATTAGAAGGGATTGAATTACATACATCAGTTTCATTGAATCATGCGGTGTCCTGAAATCACCATGGAAAACAGTTGATCATTAATATTTAATGTCAACATGACAATATTGTTGAAATATCTTGTTGTATTAACCCCCAGACCAGTTTTCATTGCATTTGTTGTGTTGCGTCTTTATTTGTAATTTTCTATTTTTATTAGTATTATTATTGTTGGCATGGAGCGACTTCTAAGGGCGCATGCTCAAAACTCAATTGAAGTATGCTTATCTATCTAAACCACATGAATAGAGACCTACCTACGATCTCATGCTAAGTACGCTACGTGAATCGCTATTATTTTTGCTAATTACTTATTTCACCGCGTGTGCTCTAGACTCTGTGTCATCTTCGACTGTTTGGTAAATCATTTCAACTTCCCGTTTTGTTGTACAATCCAGTGAAGCTGAAGAAAGAACACTCCAAGAAAGGGCCCTTTCAGAAGCAGGGATTTGCGCGAGGAATCCGGTGAGTTCGCTTCATGCCACAATTCTTACAGTCCACTCTTGTTTTCATTTTTATTATTTTTCAAGTATTCGAAGACGCGACATGTTGTAGTATTGTTGTTCTTTGAATCACCGTTGTTGTTTCTGCCGTGTTTTTGTTCCCATTGTGTTTATTGTTCCTGTATTTGTGTTGGATATTGTTCCTGTGTTCCAGTTGTTTTCTGTTCCTGAGTTCATGTTCATATTTTAATATTTCTGAAGTTCCCATTTTAACTGATATCAGCTCATTTTGATTGACAAAGTTCAACATGGCACGTCTGTCACTTCAAGCAAAAATTGAAATTGTTTTAATTGTTGGTGAAGGGGCGAGGTTTTATCGTGAAGCGGCCGCTGAATTTAATAGAAGACACCCGCTAGAGGTAGATGTACACCCTGGAACTGTACATAAAATAGATAATCTATTCGTGAGCACCGGCCAAGTAACAAAGGACAGATAAATTGTTAAACATCATATTGATGATGATACGATATTGGCGGCTCATCAAGCTGATCCTAGAGTTAGTTTGAGAAACTTATCGCTTCAACTCAATATGAGCCGCCGTAAAATATGGAGGTGTTTAAAGAGGCATAAAATGCATGCGTTCAAACCCAAATTTTTACATACTTTGCGCAAAGGAGATGAAATCCGTCGTATGGAGTATTGTTTATGGATGCAGGGAAATTATCTCAATGACAGGAATTTTTTAAAGTGTATCTGATACAGTGATGAGGCTACCTTTACCACGAATGGTGTTGTATCTTCCCAGAACATGAGGTTTTGGGCTGAAGAAAATCCAAATTGGGTGGTGAATTGTAGAGAACAAATATCTCAGAAAGTTAATGTGTGGTATCCTGAACGAAAATATTATCTGGCCATTTTTTTTCGATCAAAATTTATACGGACGACCATTCGTTGATTTTCTCGACAATGCATTTACGATGTGTTGGAAGAACTACCTTTGGATGTGAGACACAGCATGATTTTTCAGTTAGATGGTTCACCAGTTCACAATAGTGGCATAACAAGAGTTTGGTTGAATAGGAATCTACCTATGAAATGGATAGGACCCAATAGCCCTCTCGTAGTATGGCCACCACGATCCCCAGATTTAACTTCACTGGATTTTTATTTATGGGTGAACTTGAAAAAAAAGTTTATAAGGATAGGCCAACAAATAAGGAAGATCTCCGTGCAAGAATTTTACAAGCGTGTGGAGAAATCACACCTAGAGAACTGAGAAGAGTTGGAGGAAATAATAGAAGGCGCATAGAAAAATGTGTTCGATTGGAAGGAAATTTCATAGAAGGCACGAAAATATAAAATTGTCAACAGTTAAATCATTTGAAATTGATTGTTTTGTTTTCAATTGAAAATGTGATTTTGAAAGTAGTACTTCGAAAGAATTTTGAACTACATAACATTTTTCGCCACAAAATATCCTTGTTTTTTTTTTAATGGGAAAATGAGAATATGAACTAACATTAACCATCCTAAAACCTCACTGATTACATGTTTCCGTTCCTCTTACAAAATTACCATTTTCTCTCTTATTGAGAAGGAATAACTTTCCTGACAACAAAACAAAAAATAAATTATTTATGTGAAAACAAAAGTCAAGTTTCTAAACAATTCCGTTCATGTTTTGATGTCAAAACCAAAAAAAAATCTTCAATTATTACGGAAGATACGGGGGAAGATACGGGGGTGTTTCCATGAGAAGTGAGACAAATTCGGATACGGATTTTTCAGGACTGAAATTTTTTCAGGAAAAAAGTGTATTCCTAGTAAGCTGGTAGTCCGGATCACGAATCTTAGGGAATTTTGAGCCTATTCTGCCCCCTAATATGTTTTACCGTAAAAATGGGGTGTTCCATCGCGAGTGGCGGACAGTGTATATCACTTTGGCCAACCCCATCCAGGTGGTAGGTTCATTTTGAGCATTTCCATCAGTCCTGAGAGTTTCATCGTTCTACCTTGAATATTACGGAAGATACGGGGATGTTTCCATGAGAAGTGAGACACACTGTATGTCCATCTCCCGTGGGTTGGGCTACCTTTCGGGCGCGTCCCCAGGTGGAGGATAGGGAAACGGCCAGGAGACTAGAGGCCCTATTTGGGAAGCCAATATGGCCTTACGGACGGGGTCGCCGGACTCCTGGTCAGTGGCAGAAATAAATATGGTGAGTGGAACTGAAACTCCCCAAAAGCCTTTGCAAAACATGGCACCCAAGCTAAGGTGTAAGTAATCGTGCCGACAGCTAAATGGCCGCAGCGCAGGGAGAAATGCGGTCACGAACGATCCCCTTGGAGAACTGAGCGAAACCTCATTGTAATCAGCCTACCTCTGGCAACGACAGCAATAACGTTGCACCTTCCAGAACCTTCGTGGAGGTCACCGTGAGGCACCTCAAGATTGCCAAAGAGGGTGTGTGTTCGGTGAGTGTTGGCCTACATCTGCCAATATGAAGGAGATGACCTAGGAGGACAACTCCTCGGGAGGATGTACAATGGGTCACATGTGACCTAAGTGCAGTAAGTCTACACTCACCGTTCCTCCTCTACAGATAACAGATATGTCCATATCTTAAAAATAACCCATGATAACCATTTTCTATAACCTTATCCAATCAAGTACCTTCGATACTCTGTACATTCAATAGGAACAATAGGAACATAACTTTGCACGCTTCGCAAATTTTTCTGTTAGTTTTCACATGGTAATAAAAACTCTTCCATTTGAATTTATAATAAATATTGAACAAAATGTTATGATAAAACTAGTACAAGTTTACTATGCCTTCTGCTTCATGATTTCAAATAATATTAAGGGGAAACAGACAGAATATTACGCCACTCGAGATCAGTTATGAAAAAGGTTTTCATTATGAAAATTATCCTACATTCGAATGCTCCCCTTCAATATACTCCCTCCCTTCGCCTCACACTCTTCCATACGTCTTTTCCATTGATCCATGCAGTGCTGGAAGTCTTCTTTGGAGATTGTTTTTAGGAGCTCTGCCGTTTTCTACTTTACCGCTTCCATCGACTCAAATCGGGTCACTTTCAAAGCAGATTTCATCTTCGGAAACAAAAAAAAGTCGCACGGTGACAAATCTGGCGAGTACGGCGCTGGAGTGCGTTTATCGACCAAATACCGCTACACAGACAGCGCGTAATGGCAGATGCGTTATCTTGGTGCAATATCCACGAGTTTTTCTTCCACAACTTGGACCGTTTCTTACGTAGACTGTTCATATGTTCATGGATCAGAGAATTAGCATCAAAGTTTGTGTAAAAAATGGAAATATACGCTCAAAAACACTTGAAATGTTGTCAGTGGCATACTGTGACTGTACTCTGAGTCATAAATAATTAGAGGTGGTACAAGTGGTTCACGTGTGTAGAAAGTGTAGAAAATTGTTATACACAATTATCGAATCGCTATTAGAGAAATTGCTGAGGATGTCGGCATATAAGTTGGCTCATTTCATGCAATTCCTTCGGAAATTTTGGTCATGAAGCGTGTGGCAGCGAAATTTGTTCAAAAATTGCTGAATTTTGACCAAGTAAAAGCTGTGTGCCCAACTACTACATTTCATCGTCTTCTAAAATGTTTGCCACATTTTTAGACGAAGCATCAGGTATAAAATCCTGCAGACAGTGATCAACAATCTCAAAAAATACCTTTGATATAGTTATTCATAGCCGTAAAAGCTTACTTTCTTTGATCATGTCATATAAAATTCCTCACCTGGCGTTACATTCTGATTGTTTCCGCAGTCTCTGTAAACTTGGCTGATGTTCAAGGATTCTTCTTCAAGCGAACCGTTGAGGGATATGCTTTCCATGACTCAGGAGTATCCTGAAACAAATACAAAATTGGTATCAAATTTCAAAAGGTCTTCTTATTCTGGTGGCTAATAAGAAGGAACACTCTCTTCCCGAAATATTATCGAATATAGTGGAGTTTCTTTTGTTATGTTTCGCGAATGTCGTTTATATAACTCTTTCAAGTTTTATTTCATCGAATACATATCATTTCCGACAATTGACTCCTGAATTGTCGACGAAATCAGAGACTGAAAACAACAAACATCAGACAGCGCCGTTTCGACCTGCCACAGGATTCATCAGTGATGTTAGGCAGAACCGCGAATTGATTGTTGGACTCAGATGTCCTGAAGGGACAACCCTCATTTTGAGTGAGCATGCTCATTTCTCCTTATATACAGAAAACAGAAAACTTGAACCTTGCATATCCAAGATAAGTAAGAGTCCCTACGGCTGATTTCATCAAGCAGAGTTGTTTCAAAAGGTTGGTGCTTGTTTGCTTTCACAAGTTTATTTTAGAAAATAGTTGAGTTCCTCAAGAAGTGACTTTCTACAAAAGTATTGCATTTATAAAGTAGTGAATTGTATTCCTGCCTAACATAGACTTTCCCTGCCGGAGTCATGTTGGAGAGAATGAAATCCGAGCTAGTAGGCCATGGTAAAATGAAATCTAAAGTACCAAACTTTCCATCTGCTATGAGAGAGCCACAAAATGGTTCAGACTTTCGCGGCTGAGGGGTTAGACCGGAAATTCCTCAAAATGATCAATCTCATTGACTCCTTTTTGATAAATCACTTCACCATTCTCATAAACTCTATCATCACAGGTTGCCGATTTTCAAAATTTTGGAAGTTTGAATTGGTTATCCTTCTGGCTAAGTGTAACTCACCCGTAGCCCTTTCTGATCTGAGACTGATTACAATTCTATCATGTCTCTCTAAAGTAGAGGAGTTGATACTGAAAGATCAGAACATCTGTACAATTAGACAATTAAATTCTCTTCCTGTTTAAAGAATCTGTTTAAAATGTTTTTCTGTTAACCAGCTGTCGCACCCCTACGAACGATAATCCTCAGAAGTCGAAACTTGTGCGAGCTAAGGATTAACGAGGTTTGTTTGAAGGTGGTTGACAATGTTTCGTGGTGTATTTCATCAGTTCGGACTTCCATTGTCTGATATAATATAAATTGTTTTTTTTAACACCGCACCACAGTAAGCCCCCTCACTTGTATGGACTGCCCAAAATCCACAAGAAGGACGTTCCACTTAGACCAATCATCAGCTCCAGAGATTCGGCTACTCAAAATTTGTCTAGATTTTTACTTCCCTTAATACAACCATTACAAGGAAAAACATCGTCTTTTGTGAAGAATTCAAGGCATTTTGTCGAACTACTAGGGTCAATTGAGGTCACACAGGAAGATCAACTAATTAGTGTCGGCGTGGAAAGCCTTTACACCAACGTTCCGGTCGAAGAAGCACTCCAAATCATACAGAGAAAGCTATCCGAAGACGAGAACCTGAAAGAGAGAACGAATCATCTACCTATAGAAGTAATTATGGAATTACTAGGATGCTGTGTACAAAACTGTTATTTCCAACTGAAGGACGAATTCTTTACACAAGATAAGGGACTGTCAATGGGATCGCCACTTTCACTAGTCATAGCCAACATATATATGGAGTGGTTTGAAACTCTGGCCATTGAAGAAGCCCACAAGAAACCTCGAGTCTGGTTGAGATATGTTGACGACACCTTCATAATATGGAACCATGGGAATACTGAACTAGACGCCTTCCTGAAACACATCAACAGCGTGAGACATTCCATCAATTTCACAATGGAGAAGGAAATCCACAACGAATTGCCATTCTTAGACGTTTTGGTGGAGAGGACCGACACTAAGTGGGAAACATCTGTATACCAAAAACCCACTTATACGGGACAGTATCTGAACCACGAATCCAACCATTATCTATCAACTAAAAGAGGAATCATCAAGACTCTATCAGACCGTGCTTTCGGGCTCTGTAACACGAAGGAAGGTCTCGAGAAGGAACTAGACGTCATCAAAAATGCTCTTCAACGGAATGGTTACTCCAAAGCGATGGTAGAAAAGACCTTGGCTAAAAGACAGTAGGAGCCTCGCAAGGAAGAGAAGCCTTCACAACCAGTGCTTGCACTTCCCTACATCAGAGGATTATCGGAGAGGATAAGAAGAATTGGTTCCAAGTACAACATCAGAACTTGCTTCAGATCCGGTAACACTATCCGTAGCAGCCTCACGAAAACCAGGCCACCAAACGCGGACTGCGATTCCAATAATTGCATTTACCGGATACCCTGTGAGTGCGGAAAATCCTATGTTGGTGAAACTAAGAAGCCATTGAATGTTCGCATTGCCGAGCACAAGAAACACACACAGCGAGGGGAAACCAGCAAATCCGGAATAGCAGACCATGTTTGGACTTATCAACTGAACATCGAGTGGTCCCAAGCTGAGATCTTGCACAGAGAGGAACATTGGTTTAGGAGAGAATTCAAGGAAGCCGCTTACATGTTGTCCAACAACATATTCAGCCAAGCCAGCGTAGATATACGAAACATATGGAAACCCATCATCAAGCGAAAAATGGCCAACTCCCGCCAAACGATCATCTCCCACGGAACCAGTGAAGCGGAAAATGGAAAGCGGGGATAAGTGAAAGTACTCGAACGACCTATAAATAGTCATCTCTCGGAGGAATCAGTCCAGTCATCACCCGAAGACGATTGTAGATACTAACAATCGAAACGTCGTGAACTATCGTGACTTGGAATCTCACAACCTTTTATTTTTATTTTCTTTTTCATTTCTTCATTTTTATTTATTTTTGTTGTTTTTATTGTTCTATTTTACTTGTATTTTATTTCACTATTATTTCATTTAAGGTTTATTTTGCTTAATATAATTGTTATTTTCGACTATTGATTTTTAATTTTTCTTTTTAAATTGTTTCAGGGATTTCAAATCATTTTATATAGTAGACAATGGAAGTCCGAACTAGTAGAGAAATTTATCAATAAATTGATTTGATAACCCTGAAAAAAATAGAAAAGATTAACCATAAATAACAATTTTATTAAACAAAAAACTGAAATTACAAAGAAATATCATACAACAACAACCAAACAAATAAAAATTGAAATAATAGTAAAAGCTGAAAAAATTGAAAAATTAAAAATATTATTCACCTTTCACCTATCCCCTCTTCCCTCTTTTCGTTTCATTGGTTTTGGCGGGAGATGACCCTTTGGCGGGAGTTGATCGTTTTTCGCTTCATTAAAGATTTCCATATGTTATGTATCTCTACGCTAGCTTGACTAATTGCGTTGTTGGACAACATATACGCGGTTTCTTTGAATTTTCTCCTAAACCAGTGTTCCTCTCTGTGCAAGATCTCAGCTTGGGACCACTCGATGTTGTGTTGATGGGTCCAAACATGGTCTGCTATTCCTGATTTGCTGGTTTCTCCTCGCTGTGTGTGTTTCTTGTGCTCGACAATGCGAACATTCAATGGCCTCTTAGTTTCACCAATATAAGATTTTCTGCACTCACAGGGTATCCGGTAAATGCAATTCTTGGAATTGCAGTCCGCGTTTGATGGTAACGAGGTCTTACCTTTCAACGTGTGATTCCTAACACGGGTTGGATGATAACAAGTGAAAATTGATCGATCCTGAGATAATATTTTCACTCTTTAGACCATTAAACTCTCTTTCTGAGATAATATTTTCAGGAACATGTCTCTGTCATTTGAAGTAGTCGTGGGAGACTAATTATCAAAGTTTTGGAAAGTGCTTACACCGATGTCACGAAAATAGAACGTGCTGTCGCACGCCTATTCGCAGCCAATTCGAAAACAAAGACAACGAATCACCGCAATTTGAAATATTCAGCGAGCAGAAAGGTATGGATCGACGCTGAGGCTAAATTTGATTAGTTTCAATAACAGGTCTTTGATGCTCGCGTTCAACTAGATGGTTTGCGATCTGACAACACGCCTCGCATAATTCTCACCAGACTTATTGATACATCATAATTCAATTCATCACCCACGAACTCATTTGCATGTTGCTATTTGGTTCAACACTATTGTTTGATAGTGACAGAGGTAATAAAAGAAATGAAATATGCTGACATCAGTCAGTATAAGAGTAGTCATATAAATCACCTCTCAAATCGATAATCGTATATGAAATATTGGAATACTCTAAAAATGAGGTTCCGCAGGATTCAGTCCTTGGTCCCATTAGCCTTGAACAGACAACGTGTTACCTCAGGGCTAGTACTAGAGTGCCACCGAGATTTAGCCAAAGCCTCGGTGGATAAAAACATTATCCTGAGGTGGGTGTAAGGGCACGGCAGGAGTGTACTACAAATCACTGAGCCTAAGGATTAAGTGGGGAAAGAGAAAAAATACCAGCGTGGTTCTAACAGAGCTGGCTAGTATTTCAATTGTCACAAAAGAAATAACCAGAAAAGGAATTTCTGGCAAAAACATAACAATCTGCACTGATAGCAGACAAGCCCTATTAGCCTTGAACAGACAACATGTTACCTCAGGGCTAGTACTAGAGTGCCACCAAGATTCAGCCAAAGCCTCAGTAGATAATAACATCATCCTGAGGTGGGTTAAAGGGTCCGACATGAGTAAAGGTGATCACATTGCCGACTCTTTAGCCAAGGAAGCGGCTGGACTGAGAATTTTAGGACCCAGTCGCATCTACGGCCTGATGAATTCGACAATTGCGGAACTAGCCAAATGTTATACCCATGCTCAATCCCTAAAGAGATGGGATGGAATTGAAGGATGTAATCTTGCCAGGATCACCTTGGGCGACCCTGGGAAGCTGGCGCCGAAGAAATATCTGGCGATGACCAGGAAAAATCTACGCCTAACAGTAGGATTTCTGACTGGTCACTGTCGACTAAGGAAACACCTCCATAATATGGGGCTGGGGTGGACACACCTTTATAGAGGAAGTGT